GACAGAGAGCAACGTTGGATCAATGACCCGACTTGTTAGCTGCTACTTGTCTTGTGGTCCCCCTGGTTTCGACAGTAATTAGCGAGATTGTCGAACACACGTAAAGCACTTCGTTCTCAATTATACTGACCGTTGTTTAAACACCCAACTACACAATAATGAAGTTGCATGTGGCTAAATTTTTATGCACCCGGTAGGAAGTAAACCTGGATTAGAAAGCGGGCCACCGCTTACATTAACGCGTTCCCGTGCATGCGGATTTCGTTTCGAGACTTCGGATCGCCTCAGACTGCGACGTTCCTTCCGGTTCTGGCGGCAATTAAGTAGCTCTGCAGAGCGATCAAGTACAATCTAGGCCGCTACGTCTCGCTCGCCATTTTCGTATTCATAAAGTCGGCGTCTGCCATGACCAATGTTTTTTGTGTCAACAGTATTTCTATTTGGGATATAAGACACTGGCCATAACCCACAACACGTCTTAACAACTTAACTTTATTTTATTTGTGTTCACATAATAATCTAGACTAACAAAATACATCCTGCTTTCCTCATGAGCGCCATTTCTATAAATATCGTAATTTATTGCCAAACACTAGTTTCGTAGACGAACAAGTCACAACATGACTTGTGTGTGTATATGGCAAGATGGCAGATGTGCATACAAGATATTTTATTCTCGTGGCCATCTGCGGAGGAAATGATTCAGACCGAGTACGCGTGCTGCTGAATACCAATCAGACAGACGGCAGTGGTGTACCAGTTAAAAAAATAAAAGAAAATAGGAACATCGCATTCCGTCTCGCGGGTTCCGGAAGTCGACATTCTTCAGAATCGTTTAAAACTGGATCAAAGTATACCGAAACGTCTCTCACAATTAACCTGAACATCGTGATTTGCTGCCAGAAAGGTCCAGAGGTCGGTGGCCTACGAAAAATATACTCGAGGAAATTACGTAACTAGGAACTCAATTTTATTGGTAAAATTGTTAAGTCGAACGAGAGAAGTTACGAAAGACAAGGGAGTCCACGCTGGACAAACGGGAAGCGATTGCTCAACTCTGATTGGAAAGCAGCTATTTGCAAAAGCGAGACGTATATGGAAGATTGCGAAAACACAATTCGAGAGAAATTAATTGTGAACAGGATTCATTAATGCCTTATCGGTGAAGTTCGTCGTTTGAAATGGATCGCGTTCTGGTGCAGTGACTGGCTTTTGTCTTCGCGGCGCTGAACTCTGGGTTTTTTACCCCACGGACGTTAACTTTACGGTTTCTCTAGTAAAATACTGCGGTGTCTGATTTAAATTCAATAATTAGAAGCACAATGTGGAGGCGTCTTGTCAGACTGTCCGCAAAAATACACACAACTCATTGCTCGCGACATCGAACTCAAAAGGACCTAATTCACACTCCGCTACAAGACGTCACATTTACCTCAAGTACACGGACTTTGCTGCGAAGAAACATTAAAACAGAAACGTGGCCCCGTTTAAGTTAAATAATTAATATGAAGGTTATAGGACATTGAAAGAAATGTTAAATCAAATGCATACGTTTAACTTACTCCGTGCAACAGAGCACTTATTTAGAAGCTGATAGTCGTCACTCAGCTTGTCAACAAATCTCCCGCGTTGTGTGAAATCCGAACAATCATTACGCTGATCAAAGAAGCCCGCCACTGGACCGTATCCTGAGCCAGATGAATCCATCCTAGACTCTCGCATTTGATTTATTTACGATCAATCTTAATATTATTCTCTCTGGTCCCCTGAGGACTTTTAAGCAATAATGAAATGTTGGGAATGGCTTGAGGTAAATATTTTTGGAACGGATATGTTTCGAGCAGTGAACCGGAGCACGCTCAGCAAGGCACGCTACGTAATAAAAATGCCACGGTCATACTTCGAACGCAGACAGTTAATTACGTAACGTACAGATATATTAATAAAGAAGCAAAATCACACCAAACAATGTGAAGGAACACAGAAAAACGCGTTCCTATCTTGGATTATATACATTTTCCAAACGCATTTTTGTGATTTTGAATCTCTATCATCGGCCTTGATATTCACATATTACAGACACAAACCCATCGTTGAGCAGACACATCGCAAAAACACAAAATTTCTTCCTCTCGTAGTTAAACTAAGTTACGACGTAATAAAATAACCTGGAATAAAAATTTTTACATTGCAGAGTACTTGGCCATACTTGCCATTTCATAAACATTATAAATATTTAGATTCCAGCTTCGTGTACGAAGTTGAATTGGATCGAATAATTCCAGTCAAGTAGATCGAAATATTAAATATAAGCATGCAGACATTACCTCATTATTATGCCCTCATTTGTGCAATGCACACACACACACAGGTTCAAAATTAAGACACAGAAAATACTTTCACATCCAAGTAAAAATGACCCGACACAAACAGATTTTCCGGGTAAGATAATATAATGGCGCCTTTTATATACAGAAGTTCCACGCGCCGGCTTTTTAAGGTCGTACTTCCCGATTACATTAAGACGCATTATTATTGTACTGCAGTGCTTCGGAAAGCCTCCATGTTTCTAGGCTGGCATTTATAAATAAGGCGCAACTAAATAAATACTACTCTATGACGTGAATACACAGATGAATTTCGTTACCTTGGACCCAATTTGGTTCCCGCACTGTCCCGCCTGCAGATGAACGATTTCCCTCATGGTGGCGTAGCGTCCTTACAAATACAATCCGTCTTTGATACTGACTGCTCCGTTCTACCGCCAGGCTCGCTGTATGACGTCGGCTGGGGGAGACTTGGAGGGGGGCACGCCGTTCACGTGACTATTTCAGATTTGAAACTCATACCGGCTTTCTTTTCACTTTGGCGTCGTCAAACAGTTGTATTGTCAATGGCTGCCCTCTGCCCCGATTTCAAGGTCAACCTTAATCTTAACCCATTGTTGCTTGTTATTAGCATCTGGTGTTGTTTAACTGGACGATACCTGGGGCACAGACACTCGAAAATAACACTGAAATCGAGATTTCGTCCTGATGATGAAGGCAGTAAGCACCTCTTTTAACGATTCCTTACCGATAAGACAACCATCTTCAGGCTGAGAGTGTGTGGTAAGGGTCTATTTTTCTTGCAGTAAAGCGAACCGAGGCCTTGGGAGGCTAATAGTGGCACAGCTAGTTAAGAAATTTAAAATTTTCTGCCTTTCATGGATCTCGTAATTTCATTACCGTGATTCCAAGAACCCGCCAGATGAATTCAGCCCACACCCCATTTCTCTGTAATCCTTTTCAATATTATCTTAACCTATTGCTAAGTTTCTTTCATTGGGGTTTTCAGAATACAAATTAGTTTCGGTTGTCACTTATGTAATGCGTGATACATGTATTACCTGTCTCATTTTCCAGGAAGGAGAACATGATGTTCCTTTTATTTATTTAACGACGCTGCCAATAGGTATACCTATGTAGCGTAGAATTATGCGATGATTTAATGAGTAATGAATTGGTAAGTAGGTCATGGTCTAATTTGATGTATCCCAGCATTTGTTTAAAGGTACTGAGAAGAACCACGATACGTTTTGTTTGTTGTGTTAACACAAATTTAAAACACGACACACACATTAATTCAATAATATATAATCAGTATTGTGATTTGGATAGCAAATTGATCTGCAATAGAACAGTCACACGAGCTACTTTCGAATGATGAAACAACGCCTGACACTACGGCAACTTCTTCGCCACGCGCGTAAGGTGTGTTGCCTATACTAAACCATACTATCACATACTAAGCAGTTCTTAAGTACGATTTGCCCGTAGATGGCTGTCTTCTGGGTTATAGCGCCGTGTAGCCAGGTAGAAGTTTACCAGCGTTTCAGAAGTCCTTGCTGCCTCCATCATCAGGGCGATAATCGCTCTTAACACCATATTCTGCACAGACTCTGCCTAGAAACCTGACAGTATGCTTTTACCTCTGGCAACAGCTGATGTATGAAGTATTCCATCAATGCAGATAACACAATTGATACAACTGTTGTTTCATACACATTGGCTTCACGGGGCCATAATGGATACAGAATGGCAAAACCTACTTATCACTATAATTTCATTTTTTGTTTCCATTAATTGATTTTGCATTCTCATTTCCTTTGCCGCTCATTTATTACAGATACAAACCCACTGTTGTAAAGCTAACAGTACTACAGATATCACAGTGAAAGAGTAAAAAGAAATCACACTACCAATAATTTTTTACTTCAGTTTTATTAAATATTCGACATAGCAAAAATGAATATGAACCGAATATGGTATAAACTAAGAACAACTATAAAGAATTATACCAGAGCTAGTTCCAGGTTATTTTTTTGGAAGTAAAATCTGAGATACGACTGAATCACTTTGGGTAATCATCAGGGTTCATGCTGTAAGTGACATGTCAACTGTATTTTTACCTACAGTTAGGTCTTGGAGCACAGTGTCCTTGTCTGAGACCTGTTTGTCGCACCACATTAACCCTCGTGATGGAAGCAGAGTCTCTGAAACATCAGACACTAACACAAAACTCACACAGCTAATTGCACGAGAATACTTCATTGCATTGTCACTTTGAATGTTTAAAATATTATAAAACCTAAGACAGTGATTGGATTTTGCAGGCCTAGGACAGGGACCGAAGGAGGGCTTTGGTTAATTCGGTGATGAACCTTTGGGTTCCTGAAGCCATCAAGTTAGTTAGTTTATAAAACCTGAGACACATCAAGACATCTAAATCAAATAACTTTACCAATCAGTAGTAATATCCTGCATGTTCAAATGGCAACTGAAAGGTGCAGATTGTTGTACAGTGGAATTAAATTATAAAGACATCCAAAAAGACTCTTCAGCACTCATTGCCTGTAATTTTCTGGTGTCTGATATTACTCAGATACCAAGTGACAGGACAAACTCAGTTTCAGCCTTTAGTAGCTTCAGTTACTGAAAGTGGTTTGACAAATTATTTAATTAAATAGGTTCCTATACTGTAAGAATCAGTGGATTAAAGAAAGCACAATCATTTCACATTTGCAATAACAGACATAATAGCATCCTACTCAAGCTATTACAATAACAAGGCTTTTTTTTTTGTTCCTTCCATGAATCGGCATTAATCAGATTTTGCACGACTACTCTTATATTATGTGAAATTTCTCACACATTTTTCTTCCATTCTAGAGTGAAAGGAATGGGGAAAGAGGAGAAAATTGCACTCAAAATTATTGCAGTTCAACAACAAACATAATGTAACTTATTTATTAACAAATTTATTATGTGTACATGCAGTTCCATTCCCAGATGTGTGATTCCAGATGAAAATATAAACCAATTAATCAAATAATGCTATTGAGAACAATATGTATAATTACAGCATGTGGTAATTAATTTTAAGTCACACTACAAGCATATTTATGACAGTACTGGGATCATGTGTTGTGCACCATTACAAAAATACTGCTAAGTTTCTTCTCTATTACTCTTTACGGCTTTGGTAGTCTTTCAGGTGTGTCAAGACCCATGCAGGAGTGAAGCAGATACCTAATACAATCAAGACACCATGGACTACCTTCTCCTGTAAAAAAGAAAATTAAATCAGTAACTTCAGACATGTCATATGCATCTCTAGTGTGTATGTTTAAAAAATGCACTTAAAAAGAAGAAACCATGTAAAAATCCTATGTATTCTGAGTGCCTAATAATGAATCTCATGCAAAACCTGTTCTCTTTGGTGATAATACTTGTATAATAATCTACAAACCTGATGAAAAGTGTAAAATAAACAAACAATTTATTTAACAAACAAGTGACTGCAATCACCCTTCACATTCCCTGATGATGGAGTCAGAGAGTCTCTGAAATGTTGGACTACGATTCCATTTTGATGCGGCTTGTCGACCAAGATTTTGTTGAATTTAGTCGCCGTGAAAGCCTCAGGTCTTTTGTAAGTGGTTTGTAGCCTAAAACTAAGTAGGTAACTCCACAGAGCACAGTCCTTCAACACACACTTTAAATTTTGGCAACACAGACTTCATAAACCTAACCTATTTTTCAATATCAAATTACTAAAATACTTCATAAATAGAACAAATATTTGAAGCCAAGTGTTTAAAATTTAAAATCAAAACCAGAAGCAATGTTGACATTTCGAAAGAACTTTCCTACATCAAGATATATTTGGAAACAGAATGTGTAGCCATTCTAGGTTATATCATATTTCTTTAACCTTATATGGTAGTACAAAAAATAAGTGTTCTAAAGCATGTATTGCATGGGGGAATATACCGCATATTCTATTGTGCAGAGAAATGTTAATCATTGCAATTCTTAAAGTAGTTATGGTATTTTACATTGTGAATTGTTCAAAAAGTACATAAGAATGTTACATACCGCGGATGAAATTTTCACTTTAGCGGGCACAGAAATGACGGTTGACTCTCTGGTAACTCCCCTCGACTGTATAATATTTCGGCTCACTAATGGGGCTAATCTTATCATTTTCTGAACTGGAAGCATTCTGATGGCAATTATGCAAAATTTCCTAACAAGAACTGTTTGACCTCTCCTTTAACAATGGCGGACCAGTTATGAAATCGATTTTGCTTGTACAAAATCGGATATGATGATCATATGGAGCGGAAGTACTACTAGACCCTGTAATAACTTGAAAGTTTTTCCAGGAAAGTACAATATGAAATCACACTATTATTTAATTACTTACACTATTATTGCAACTTAACCGAACAATTTACCACCTGTTTATTGCTTCAAGATAACATAACATTGTCTCACTCAGTGCTTGGCCTTTCACATGATAACATGCGGGATTTTCAATTACGAAGTAAGTATTCTTATTAATATTGTGAATAATATTAACACAATATAAATAACAAAAACAATAATATGGACATTTTTGATACTTGTGTTAAATCGAAGCTTTGGGAGATAGTCAACATTTATTTCTCACACTCTAACACAACCCAACCTAACCTAATTTGACCTGACTTAACGTAATCTGACCTAACCAAACTTTATCAAACCAAACCTAATTAAACGAACTTAACCTCACACACCACAGACAAACCTAATCCAACCCAACCCAACCGAAGTGTATAATAAGTTGACTTTGTTTGAGCACTTTCGTGTTCTGATGTTGATTTTCTGATTCAATCCTGTTTCAGTGAAGCAGTGGACGTGAGCAGGCATATTGTTTACGCACGAATTTCTTCTCATCACCGGAAGATACGAGCAGACCACGGAAGGAATGTTTATGTTTACAAAGACGCTTTTGGAAGCTGGAAAGGGGAAAGCAAACGTTAATTTGCCGAACCACTGGGCATCTAAGCTGAGCTCCAGTCAAGGTAAGATACTTTAATGATCATGCCTACGATAGCTTTCACATATGCAAGATTAATATGAAATGTGAGCAGTAACTCTGATAGCATGGAATAAACTTTCTTTCTCTCCAGAATCATGTTCGTACGATCTGTGAGATATTTTAATCTGAATAATTATCATACAATACGCTTATTTCTCCTGGATACCCGGCAACTCTGCAGGTGGATTGATCAAAAATAGATGGAAACATGCTGTCTACATATTAACCTAAATTAAAGAAAAATTAGTAAAATTAGACGACATCTCTCAATATAAGCTAGCCTTAAATTACAATTATATATTACTTGATTTATGGAATACATTGTATACAATAAATTACAGTGAACGAAGTAAATATTCACTATAATTTTCGTTCAAACTGTAAACTTAATTAAGACAAAAAAAAATGTTAGAGATTACGTACCGCAAATGGGATTTTCACTTTGGAAACCCCGGACAAAACGTGTGCACTCTTGGTAATTCCTCTGGTTTGAATGATACTTGTGCGTGCTGATGGGACCAGTTTTATAACGGACTGAATTTGAAACATTGTCAACGCGAAGCGTAAAGTTTTGTGTAGTGACTATAATACGTACGTTGAACTGCTTCTAGACAATGGCAGGCTTGATATAAAATTAGCCAGAGCCTATAAAAAAATTGAATCTGGGATTTTGACGGAACGGAAGTGTTACCAGATGTCACAGAGGACTGTTCGTATGAACCTAATACAAATATCCTTAACAATATAGACTACACAATTAAAACTGTGATTGTTACATTTATACTGATTTGTTACGTCAATTAAAATTGTCTTTATTGTTACTGGTACATTGCCCTGTGCATGTAAACCACGCATGCGTACTGCACGACTTTTAATTTATAATTAGTTAGGCTTGTATTTCTATTTGTGTTTGTATAGATGTCGGTTGTTACAAGCAAACGGTGGGATCCTCTTAAAACACAGCCTCTTCTCTCTCTCTCTCTCTCTCTCTCTCTCTCTCTCTCTCTCTCTCTCTCTCTCTCTCTCTCTCTCTCTCTCTCTCTCTCTCTCTCTCTCTCTCTCTCTGGACACTTCTGTTCGTTGTTTCTGATCGTCTTCGTTTATCATATTCTGTATTCATCAACATATACAGTTGATATAGTGTCATTAAATGGTTTAAGAATCAACCGGATATATATCCCAGTCGTGAGAAATTAGTTTACAGCGGGCAACAAGTGAACAGCTGAATTTTTGAAATCTGGCCCGCGAGCTAATTTTTCGAAAAAAGAAAATAATATTTAAAGACGCTCAGGTACTCATAATATGGCGAAATATCTACACAGCGACGTAATTCCTTTATTATAATTAAAATTGTACTTCGAATCAAGAATCTGTCTCTTCATTCCAAGGTAAAAATAAAACGACGCCGGATCGGAGGATTCGTGATACTGAAATAAAACCATTGGCATGTAAAAACTCGGATAGCGAAAACGTTAATTACGAGAGCCGCCTTATTAAGTTCGGTGCTGTATTTTAATTCAAGTTTCTCGTATCGTTTAATGGCACTTCGACACACATAAGTGACTTAGATATATCCGAATGTACTTAAATACATCAATACTTATCCACTGACGTGAGTAAGCTGATTATCCAGTTTTCAGTTTCCTCAGGACGTAAATTGGATAGGCGTTGATGGCTCCAAACATGACCACGGAGTGGGCGAACCTCTCCTGAAAACATAAATCGGATTAACAGCATAGATTCACTAAACATATAGACGAATATATTTTCACAAATATTATCCCACCCGGTTCTAATTTGCTTTTCAAATAATCGATACATAACGCCCAAATGCTTGGGTCATTTAATTTAAATTTGAATAGAATTGTCTCCGATAGATACGGTTTGTTTTGTCGCTCAGCTGGTCAAAGAAATCCCCGGACGTTCTTCACCGTGCTCACAAAAGCCCGTTATTGCCCCCCCCTGTCTTCAGCAACTTCAATCCAGTCCAAATCCTTACGCATTATTTGTTTAATGTTCATTTTAATATTATCCTCCCATCCGCTTCTAGGTCTCGTAATTTGTCTCTTTCGTACCAAACTATATATCACCCCTGTGCTACACGGGGCCCATCTTATCGTCATTAATTTGATCTTTCGATTGTTTTTTGGAGTACAAACTGTGAAGCTAATCATCGTCCAACTTTCTCATCCTGTTTCGTCCTTTTTTCCTTATTGCAAATGGCGACCGTGGAGGAAGGAAGCTGAGTAATTGGTATTCCTACTGCCTGCATGTGAACACAGACATAAGAAAATGACGTGCTTCTACCTGTGAACAGTTAGGGCAGTCATCAATAAGGTTCACAAAACCTTTAGATGAGACGTCGTATGAAAAGAGCCAATTGACAAAGAGATCTGAAATTAACAACGTTTTGGTGTGATGTATGGACTCGCGGCCATTAATACCTGCATCACGCAGATAGGAGAAAGTAAACGACGCACAATGAAAATTTCACTTTCTAATATTATTTCTCGAGAATCGAGCCGAAGATCGTATAAATATTACGTAAGAATTCAGCCCGAACCGCGAAGAAAACACTACACTTCACCATTACAAAGATCGACTGGTTAACCCTTTGAAGCCGAAGCTCGTATAAATATTACGTAAGAATTCAGTCCGAACCGCGAAGAAAACACAAGACTTCACCAGTACAAAGATCGACTGGTTAACCCTTTGAAGCCGAAGCTCGTATAAATATTACGTAAGAATTCAGTCCGAACCGCGGAGAAAACACAAGACTTCACCATTACTGGTTAACCCTTTGAAGCCGAAGCTCGTATAAATATTACGTAAGAATTCAG